CATGAGTTTCTCTGAATCAAGCCTCATTTTCATTGACTCCTAAAGCTTTTCCCAAACCTTTTTCAGTTTGAAACTTTGTTTTTTTTTTTGATGAGCAAAATACAAAAACAATGAACAAATTTAACAAAACTAATGTAAACCGTACAAATTTAATTTTTTGAACTACTTGTGAAAGTTTATCGATGTAATATTGCTCTTTCTTTTTGTTGATCCCTTCAGTTGATTCAAGAGATTTCAAATTCTCGTTAAACTTCGTTATTATTGAGTTAGGTATTCAAGTGTTTCTTGTAAATTTTTAAAATTTAAAAGCTTTATGCAAATGAAGCTGATATAAAATGCTTTCGATTCCTGTTCTCTATGTAAACTTTTTCTGATTTTACCTTCGTTTCTTGTTTCCGTTGAGCTGAAATAAAATTGAATTGATTGATTGAAATTGATTTTTTTCCTAATTCTTTTGTAAATCTTTCAAATGTAGAACGAAGTTGAAACTTCAAACGAAGTTTCAACTTTCTTAACTATTTGCCAGATTTAACAGAAGCAATGTTAAACTCGCCCTTCTAAATTTGCTTCTGTGTCGAACTCGGGCTTCTAAAAATTGCTTCTTCTAAAATTCGACATTGCTTCTGTTAAATCTGGTAAATAGTTAAGAAAATTGAAATTTCGTTCTACATTTGAAAGAGTTACAAAAGAATTAGGAAAAAAAATCAATTTCAATCAATTATTTCAGCTCAACAAGGAACGAAGTTAAAATCAGAAAAAGTTTTGACAATTGACAAAACGCCTAATGTCAACGTCACTTATTTTACTATTAAAGAATACTTTTAAATCATTTAAATCATTATTTGATTCTCATTGTGCTCCTCTCTTCCAATCTGTTTCCTAAACCGTGTCCACTTTTCCCTTTCTACCGTAATCTTGTCTCTATTTTTCCAATCTATTCACTTTTTGTCTGATTCTTTGTTCACAAATGATATTGAAAGATATAAAAAGTGAATAGATTCGATTAAAAAATAGATTACGGTAGGGAAGACGTTTTAGAGAACACTGTATTTGTGATATTTGTGCCTTTTTTTTCATCAAATTCTTTCAACTTTGCCCATCAACTTTGCCAAACTCTAGAAACGGGTCGTTGCCCCAATCCTCTCATCTCCGGTATTCACTTGAACCCCAAATTCCCATAATTCTATCAGCGATGTTCGCGGGGTCGAGGGGCTCAATGGGAAGGCCCCTCCTCGCCATTTTCCTCGCTATCGCTTTGATTATTTCCCCCGATGGGGTCGAGGCTGGCAAGAGAGCCAGGAAAACCCGCTCGAGGACGCATTTCAGGAGACAAGGTTTGTATTGTAGGGGAAATATTGTACTGTAGCCGTTACTGTACTCATCGGTGTGTACAGAAGGGACAAACTTCGGACACTGTGACTTACTGGTACTGTGATGCTAATATTTTTGGCGCAAACGACCGATTGATTTTACAAATTAGCAAAAGCAAAGCAAAGGATCTACTTGTTTGCAAAAACAACTAACAATTCAAACAAATCAACCCTTTTATCTCTTTTTAAACACAAGAAATTTTAATCTTTCATCTCCAATCGCCAAAAATCGGCGACATTCAATTAATCTTTTTTCTAAAAACGAAAATTCTTCTTTCTTTTCTTTTCATTGGCCAAAAGTTTTCGTTTTTAGAGAAATTGCTCCCATTTTTAGGGATAAACAGCTCAAAGCTATCAAACAGAAAAAAAAAGAAAAAAATTGATAGACTGCGAAAAAAGTATCGGTTCCAAATCTTTGTTCTAGCGGGCAAATTTGAAATTTCTTTTAGGGATCGATAAAAACGAAGAAAATGAATCACTCAAAGGGATTTCGATTTAGAATTTGATCTAGAAACACAACGGATTCAATTGACCAAAGCAAATCTGAGTTTATGTTGGCTAGGTTGAGGCACAGAGCACAAAACAGTTAAAAAGGCCCCGGGAAATGCCATGCTAAATCAAATTTGAAGGTCTTTGGTGTATTGGTTTATTGATCAAAGCTAATTCGGGTTTAGATTGACTGAATTGAAACATGAATCATCCAAATACTTCGACAATTTTGGAAAATACCCTGATTCGTTTAATTTGAAGACTTTCAGAGTGGGAAGGCTATTTTATCGTGAGAGACACGTTCGTTAAGTTCGTTCAATTTCGTTTGGGCTATTGACCCGAGCGGATTCGATTGATCATCTAGTTTGAAACACAATAATTTGAAACACAAAACAATCACCAACAGATGGTATATTTCAAGCAAATTTGAAGCTCTTCAGTGTTGAAATAAATAAAAAATGAATTTATCTTGATAAATAAAGTAGATTAAAGCCCGTTCGGTTTATAGACCAAAGCTAGTTTAGGTAACTGATTTGAAACACAACAATTCACAGCAACAACCATTGGCACATGGCCTATTTAGCCAAATTTGAAGATTTTTAGTGTAATAACAATAGAAATGTTATTTATCTCAATGAAATTTATTATTATTAGGTTAAGGACGATCATATCGATTCATTGACCGGAGCAAGCTGGAGAGTATGTAATTTGAGTTGAAACACGGGCCCTCAAACCCTTAGACAGTCATCGAATTGACCTGTGTCAATTAGTAAATTTGAGGATTTCCGGTCAAATAACTATAGGAAAGTTAATGATTTTGATAAAATTTATGTATTAAGCTAAGTGAATCCACCTATTGACCAAAGCTGCTTCAAGTTTAGGTTGACTAAGTTGAAACATAGGCCATCAAACACTGGCAAATGCTCTTTTCCGCCAATTTTGACCATTTTAGGCTAATAACAATAGGAAAACTAGTGAGATTTTGATGAAATTAGGTTAAATTAGATTATTAGATTAAGCAGGAAGCCTTTTTGGGTTATTTAGCTAAGAACTTAGAGCCAATGGAAACGCTAAAGGAGACACGGTTTATCGGGGCAAGTCAAATCTTCAGCTCCATCGAAATGACTTGCGCTTTATTCGAAATTAGATAAAATTTAGTTAATTTAGATAATTTTAGATAGAATCTATTAGAATTAACTTTTAAAATGATAATATAGGAACATAGACTGCCAATTGATGCCAACATGCCAAAGCCAAAGCAATTTCGTGTTTAGGTTAACTATTTTGAAGCATGATCAATAAAATCACCAAACAAACATCTTTTTACCCAATTTTGAATCATTTTTTTGTGTAATAATAGTAGAGAATCTTTTAAATTAACAAAAAAAGACGAATTTCTTTGAGATCTTCTCACTTTTTTATCATTTATTTCATTATTTCTAGCATTTTTTGACTGACAAAGCCTAAATTCATTATAAATCAATTATTTGGAAATCAAAAATCAAAGAATTGATAGAATTTAAGAAGAATAATAAAAATTTGAAAATTTTATTGATTTTACTAAAATCTAACAGTAATTAACCGATTCTGACCAAATTTAATTGAAATTTTAAAACTCATGTTTCAAAATCAGGACGTTTCTGCTAGATTTTTCAAAATTAATTTTTTTTTGCCTTCAACCAAAAATCCGTGAAAATTCCCGATTCTTTCCGAATTTTTGATATTTTTTTTCGAAAAACCAATCCATTCAATCAATTCATATCATTTCTCTGTTTTTTTTTGAGAAATCCCCCAAAAAATGCTATCTGTACATAAAAAAGATGCAATTTTCTTCAATTTGAAGAAAAAAATTTTGATAATCCTATTGATAAATTTTAGAGAAAAAAGAACGGTTGACAAAAAATTGATTGATTACTTTTAGAGAAAAAGCTGCGATTTAGAGAAATGTGCTTGTTGCAAAGAAAAGCAGCTTAAAATACAGGCCAGGAACAGTCTTTCTTGCTGGTGGATCAAAACGAAAACTACAGTGTTTTTTCACGTTTTCTCGACGTAACGACAACGGTGTCAAAACTGCCAAAACTGTCGCGTACTTTGAGCTCTTAAATCCCGTAAACACCCCTTTTCTAGTGCACTCAATTCTTCCATTTTCCTCGATTAAAGGAAAACAAAAGAATTGAGTGCACCAGAAATGGTGCACTCAATAAATGGTGCACTCAGAAATGGTGTTTGCAAGATTTGGGCACAAAGTACACTCGAACGAGCAAGGTTAAGATAGGTTAAGATAGTTTACTGTATAATGTACTGCTAGCTCGCTCTGTTTACTCAATATTTATCAACATTCGACTGAAATTGCAACATTAACTTTATCTGAAGCTTTCCCCAAACAGCATTCGTACAATTCCGTCAAGAATGCCAGTTTCTTCTCTAAAATACGAAATTTGTGTGCCAAGATTCGCAATCCCTTTGATATGTTTTGCTCAAAATGAATCACCCGAGATTTTTTACGACTCTCTCGACAAAAGTGTTCCTTTTCCACCAAAAATTGAAACCAAAACATTCAAAAAATTAGACATTTTGCACAAAATTACGAAAATTTTTACGGGAATCGTTAAAAAAATAAGTTTCACAATAAGAAATTGAATCAAGAACAGAAAATACCCCAAATTGGTGACTGTAAATTTGGAGTTTAAGAAAAAAAAAGAGTACAGTTTAGCTTAAAATCAAGCATAAAATTGTCAGGTTTCAAAATAAACCTCCTCTTTTTCTATGAGCTATGTGATCAATGACCCCCCCAGATGTTTCAGTCATTTTTTCCATTCATTAACTTGATCAAAAGCTTTCCTTTTGCAAACTTTAACAGATTTCATGAGTTTAAACTAATAAAACAAACAAACGAATCAAAATTTCGTTTAAAAAGGGTTTAAAATTCTTGTGTTTCAAATAAAAGGGTATCAAATCTTTGCTGCTTTGATTAATCATTTCATTCTACTTTTTGGCCATAACATTTCCTTTGGAAAGTCATCTAATAAATGCAAAAGTATTTTTAAATTCGAAAAAATCTAAAATTCCTATTGGCAATGTCTAGAATGATAAGCAAGATTATCAAAAGATGAACGTTTTTTTCATTTATTTAACTTTCAGCCAACATCAACGCCATTGACGACATCGGACAGGGTAAGTGGAAAAGTTTTTCAATTTTTTTGGATCCTAACTTAGTTTTTGACTTTAAAAGACTTTAAAATCTTAAAATATTAAACTTTAAATTTTAGCTTTTAGGGTTTTCATGTTTTTTAGGTGAAAGGAAGGTTTTCTTTAAATTTAAGAGAATATTAAGAACGGTTTGAAATTTGCATGTTTCACTTTTAGGGATCTTAGGGAGAGAAAGAAAGATACAGTTTCCCTTAGTTTTTTCTTTCTCTTTTATTAATCCATTCGAGTCCAGAACATTTGAAAACATTTTTTGACCTTTTTTTGAAAAGAATCTTTTCCCATTTGATCAAATTTGCATTCAAATTGGATTCTGATAATGCCAAAGCCTTTAGTCCTTTCGCTATAAAGAACCAATATTTTTCGCCTCACCTTTTGAACATCTGCTTTGCTAATTTTTCATTCCCTAGCAAATTCTCATCAAAAATTATGTGACCTTCTTGCTAAAAGCCAAAAAAACCCAAAAAATCCATCAATTTTTGATCAAAAGAGCTTAAAACATCAGAAAAATGTGTTACACTCTTGCGGTTTTCAGAAAGGAATTAAAAATTGAGCAATGAAATTGAGCAAAATGAGAAAACCTCAAGGAAAAGCTGAGATTTTTGAGGGAACTTAAGTTTTTGTTACTTTGAATTGATTACTAGAAAATTAGATTCCTTTAAAAATAATCTCCAAAGATGATTACTTGTTAGTAATCATTAGTAAACAAAAGTAACGTATCACTAGTAACCAAAAGTAACGTATAACGTATAACGTAGTAACCAAAAAGCAAATTAACGTTAGTAACCAAAAATGATTACTAACATGCAAAAGAAACGAAAAGAAAGAAAATAAAAAATATTTTAGAATAATTTTCAATTGATTTCTTTTTTTATCGGCTATCGGATATGAAAAGGACTCATTTTTTTAAAAAATAATCAAAAAAAACCACTGTAAGAGAGTAACTAAAGTTGACGATATGAAAGAAACACCCTTAAAAGTGAAACATTCAATTTGTAATCTGGGCCAGTTTTCGAGTAAAAAACCTTCTTGTTAAAGCATGCGGTATACAGAAAGAATTTGAAAGGTTTACTTGAATATTTTGAAATATTTAGACGTTCAAATCACGATCTATCCCACCGAGGCACAGATCCGAGACGGAAAGGACGCCTCTTTTGATTGCCGAGCGCGCACCGCCGACAATTCGGTCTACCCGCCCGTTCGATGGACCCGTGTTGGAGGTGAGTTCGGGAAATTATCAAAACGATCAAACGATCAAAACTATCAAAACGATCAAAAAGGACTTTGTTTAACAATAAGAAGCCATAGCTTAAGAGCATAGAATGATGAAAATAATTAGCTTCAAGGTATTTTGATTGAAAGAATTCACATTGAAACATAGCTTTTTGAGTTTTTGACTGGGCTAGGTTGGGGAAAACCTTGTTGTTAATCAATGAATCATTGTTATACTACGGTAAATAGTTATACAAAGCTGGGCAAGGACTTGTGAATTTGAAAAATAAGCAGTTATTAGTCGACGAGGAATTAGTTTTGCGCGAGTTTAAATGATGCGGCTCAAGTTGAAACAAGTTTTGTTTTGTTGAAGAACTTTTTCTGAATATATCAAGAATTGGTTTCCATAAGTGAAGGAAAGTGTTTAACTACAAAACAAAAACGCTAATAACATAACAAAAACGAAACCATATGCTAATCAGTTTACGCAAGGCTGATCAGTGTAAAGATCAGTGCTGTTGGTAAAGTTGAGCAATGACTGCTTTTTTTAAATAACTAGTTCCACAAGTAGATTAGTTCTGTGCTTAAACCTGAAATTTCCCAAAAACTTTCCAGGCCCACTTCCGGCAAACGCTCACGAGTCGACTGGTCGCTTGACGATTTCCCCCGTTTCCCCATCCGATTCAGGACGCTACGTCTGCACTTCGACTCACAACGGAAGAACCGTCGAAGCGTCAGCTAACCTCAATGTTCTCAGCTGTAAGTTGTCAATTTCAGGATTTTTCTCGATCAAAATTCTCTCACTCATCGTCTTCTTTTTGAAACACAGATTTTCGAGCACTTGTTGGCTCTTGGGCCTAAATTTGTCTCAAAGAAAGTTGAAAAGCCTCCACTTTACCACCAACTTTACTATTTGGTAAATTGTTAGGATGAAAAGCTGCCTACTCATTTCGATTAAACTAAGAATTTCAAAGATATGAAAATATAAAGAAAGCTAAAGAGATATGAAATTGATTCGATGACAAGCTAGCTGATCCTCCACTTATTGAAAAATGGTTTTTGTCATGAACCCTTTCTTCGGTTTTTCTTGACCAATCCAAATTTCTATGTCGAAAGCAAAAGCTTAGCTTTTAAAATACGTAGTTTTATTCAAAAATTGTCCATAAATTAGCTATTCGTTACAAATTGAAGCAATGCTTCTGCTTGACATCCCGTTTACATTGAAACATTTTTTTCGTGCAAAACGCTTTGTCTGTTCAATAAAAAAACAGCATTTTCAAGAACCTCATGAATCAAAAGCCAATATTCAGATGGCCCACAAGAGTTGCAAGGCGTTCTGCCGACGTCGGGCGCCTGCGGACCGGATGAGAGACAATGCGGGAACAATGAGTGAGATCGATCAAAAATCTAGTTCACATCTAAATCCCAATGTTTTTTTTGTTAAAAATTCTTTAAAATCTAGTTATTTATCAAAAAAAATGCAAAAATTCAAACGATTAGAGTCGTTTGAAACTCGTCTAGACTAGAGAAATTAGTCGTTTCAAAGAATACGGTTCCTTGGTTAGTTTTTAACCCACAATACCTTCAGTCTTGATACATTAAATTTGCACCGGCAAGTTTGCATAGCCCTTGCGTTTGGCAAATAAGAGAACTTTTTTAATGTATGGCCTTGTAACGGTTTCAAATTGTACGACTACTAACGTAATTTCTAATTTATAATAAGGAGTACACTCCAACTACAGTCGAACTTCAATATAACGAACTTCGATACAACGAATCTGAAATTCTAAAACGTAACCATTTCTGCGTAGCTGCCCCAGCCAAATGCAATCAGTGGCCGTCCAGGGCAGCTACGCAGAAAATTTGAGGCACTTTTTCGGTTTGTTATATCGAAGCTTTTGGTTCCGAGTGATTCGTTAAATCGAAGTTCGATTGTAGTATAAATTTGCATAACTCAAGCGGATCAAAAATATCGAATTTCAAAATTTGTTAATATTATAACAAGCACAACATTTCTTTTTCAGATGTGTGAAGAACGAGTACGTGTGCGACGGAGAGCCGGATTGCCGTGATCGATCCGATGAACAAAACTGCCCAGCCATGCGACAATGCGAGCCAAACGAGCATCGGTGGGTAGCAATGGGGAAAATGCTGTTTTGATAGAGAACTTTCAAAGTATTTAGCACATTATCCAGTCAAAAAGAGGAGATGATTAAAGAATGCCTTTCACTTTTGAAAAGCCTTCACTTTGAAACCCAAAAATTTTCACTAGGTGTTTTCAAAAATTTTTGATTTTCCATTTTTCACGAATTTTCACTAGTTTCCATCTTTCTGTGAGACGAATTGCAGAATTGAATAATTTTTTTGCTTCTAGTTATACTTCTAGAATACTTCTAGAATACTACTAGTTATACTTCTAGGATACTTCTAGAATACTTCTAGTTATACTTCTAGAATACTTCTAGTTATACTTCTAGAATACTTCTAATTATACTTCTAGAATACTTCTAGAATACTTCTAGTTATACTTCTAGAATACTTCTAGTTATACTTCTAGAATACTTCTAGAATACTACTAGTTATACTTCTAGAATACTTCTGAATACTTCTGTTATACTTCTAGAATACTTCTAGTTATCTTCTAGAATACTCTAGAATACTACTAGTTATCTTCTGAATACTTCTGATCTTCTAGTTATCTCTAGTCTTCTAGTTATCTCTAGTCTCTGTTGTTCTAGTACTTCTGGCTACTAGTTATCTTCTAGAATACTTCTGTACTTCTAGTTATCTCTGTCTTCTGTTCTTCTAGAATACTTCTGCTACTAGTTATACTTCTAGTCTCTAGATACTTCTAGTTATCTTCTGTCTTCTAGATCTACTGTTTACTTCTAGAATCTTCTAGTTATCTCTAGAATACTTCTAGAATACTACTAGTTATACTTCTAGTCTTCTAGTCTTCTAGTTATACTTCTAGAATACTTCTAGAATACTTCTAGTTATACTTCTAGAATACTTCTAGTTATACTTCTAGAATACTTCTAGAATCTTCTAGTTATCTTCTAGAATACTTCTAGATACTTTAGTTATACTTCTAGAATCTTCTAGTTATACTTCTAGATCTTCTGAATACTACTAGTTATACTTCTAGAATCTTCTAGAATACCTAGTTATACTTCTAGAATCCTAGTTATACTTCTAGAATCTTCTAGATACTACTAGTTTACTTCTAGAATCTTCTGTTATACCTAGAATACTTCTAGTCTACTAGTTTACTTCAGTACTTCTAGTTATACCCTAGTCTTCTAGAATACTACTGTTATCTTCTGTCTCTAGTTTCCTCTGGTACTTCTAGAATACTCTAGTTATCTGTCTTCTGTACTAGTTCTTCTGGAATACTTCTGTTCTTCAGTCTTCTAGAATACTCTAGTTATACTTCTAGAATACTTCTAGTTATACTTCTAGAATACTTCTAGAATACTACTAGTTATACTTCTAGAATACTTCTAGAATACTTCTAGTTATACTTCTAGAATACTTCTAGAATACTTCTAGTTATACTTCTAGAATACTTCTAGTTATACTTCTAGAATACTTCTAGAATACTACTAGTTATACTTCTAGAATACTTCTAGAATACTTCTAGTTATACTTCTAGAATACTTCTAGTTATACTTCTAGAATACTTCTAGAATACTACTAGTTATACTTCTAGAATACTTCTAGAATACTTCTAGTTATACTTCTAGAATAATACTTCTAGAAATCGTATAGGATTTTGTCCTTATTGTTTTAGTTTTTTCTCACTAACTATTCATTCTCCGTTTTGTTTCAGTTCAAATTGAAACTTTGTTTTCGCAAACCGTTGAAAAGCTCCTTTTGTGCGTTAAGTCTGTCTAAAATTGACTGAAAAATTTCTTTATTTATTAAACATTTATTAAACATTTACTAAACAATTAGTTCTCTATTTTATTTCGTTTCAAATTGAAACTTCATTTTTGCAAACCATTCAAAAGCTCTCCTCTAATTTGTAAAGTCACCTAAACATTAGAGTAAAATCTACCGTATTTCTTCGAATAGAAGACCGGGTAAAGAGTATCATCGCGTACTCCTGCGTAGCAGCCCTTTTTAAAGTTTCTTTTCTGCATAAAAGCTTTCAACGAAGTGCTATAGGGCTGGAAAATGACTCAAAAATACCACATGAGCTAACAGATTTTTGAGCCATTTCCTAGCTCTATAGCACTTGATTGAAAGGTTTTATGCAGAAAAGAAATGCTAAAAAGAGCTGCTACGCAGGAGTACGCGATAATACTCGTTACCTTTCTTCTATTCTTCTATGTCTTCTATTCGAAGAAATACGGTATGATAAATTCAAATTCAAATCTTTTCGACTCGAAAATAAATTTTTCTTAAAAGAACAAGTTTCAAGTTGAAAGGAATCAAAAAAAAAGAAGTGAAAGTTCATTTTGATCACGATTTCCAGGTGCAACAACCAGCGCTGCGTGCAGAAGATGTGGCTCTGCGACGGGGATGACGATTGTGGAGATGGATCCGACGAGTTGAGCTGTGGTCGGTGATTTGAATTCATTTCATTTGAATTCTTTATTCAATCAAATTTCAATCTAAGAACGTCGAAGCACTGAGACAGTTTGAGAAAAGAAATTTTCTAAAAAATGAAAACTTTTTGCACTTTGTGCTCGCAAATCTTGTAAACACCTCTTTCTGGAGCACTTAATTCTTCCATTTCCCCCGCACAGCAATGATTCGATGTGGAAATGGAAGAAACTAGTGCGCCCGATGAGAATGTTCACGAGATTTGAGGATAAAAGTACATGAAGTGAAAAAGTTGATGTTTCAAATCTAGATCAATTCTTCTCGATTAACTTTTGAAGAAATGCAATTAGCGCTATTAAAAATCGAGTTTGAAAGAACTAATTTTGATACTAAGATTTAAAATGAATTTAAAATTGATCATTTCATAGTTTTTTCATTTAGAAAATAAGTCTTTTAGCCGTTTTTTTTTTCACAAAAATTTTTCCCACCCAATCAAGATTTTTGATTTTTCAAATTGTGAATTTGGAATTTGGAATTGGGAATTGGGGAAATTTATGCCGTTTTTCTCCCTCATGCATGAGTGATTAGATGAGAAGATTTGATAGAAATTGATGGATCGTTTGATTTCGCAAATAAAAAGTGAAAATCGCAAAGAAAATAGGGAAATTTTTTTTTTTGAGGGAATTTTGAAGAATTATTGGAATTTTTTGAAAATTGTAAAATGAAATTCGATGAAAGGAAATAGATTTAAGCTCTATTGTGTTCAACTTTTTTTCGCCAACAATAGAGTTTATTGTAACCTATCGATCTGTAACCTATCGATCTGTAACCTATCGATCTGTAGCCTATCGATCTGTAGCCTATCGATCTGTAGCCTATCGATCTATAACCTATCGATCTGTCACCTATCGATCGGTAACCTATCGATCTGTAACCTATCGATCTAGGGAACCAAATTTAGAGAGATAAGGAACCAAATTTGGAGAGATAAGGATCCATCTAGAGATCCATCTAGAATAAATTTCATAATAAAAAGCTTTCCAGGAGTGCAAGCAGCTGGTGATGTGTGCAAGAAGACGGAGTTCAAATGCCACGACGGTCGCCAATGCGTTCCCCTCGTCTTTCCACTGTGATGGCACAAACGATTGCTCGGATGGCAGCGATGAGGTCGGGTGTGCCCGAAAATTCCTCCTTCACAACAACATGGGCAAAAAGCCGAGACACCCGAGAAATTATCCCCCGAAATACCCGATGAATTATGATGACAATGGGGTGGGTTAGCGGGGGAAAAGCACAGTTTTTTTTCTGCAAAACACCAATCAATTTTTGAGTTATGCATCGACTCTTCCGATTCGATCACCACTTCGACGATCTGTTCTCTCGAAAACCATGTCACTAACCCGATTTCGTATCTAAAGTGTGCCTCCTATTCAATCCGTTTCCTAAAAGGCATTCATTTTTAGAAGGCATTAATTAAAACTACCGTAATCTACTCGTTATTTTACATTGAATGCGCCAAATTTTTGTCAAATGACAATGACAAATGACATGGAATGACAAGGATCAGTCAAAAAGTGAATAGCTTAGAAAAATAGAGAGAAAATTACGGCAGAAAGTGAAAGGACACGTTTAGGAAACGTTTTAGGAAACGAATTCGTCAAAGGGAACACACCAATACAGTATTTTCATCTTTCAGAAACGGTGTTTTTTCGGGGGGTAAATTTTTGGAGAGAGTGTGTGACGGCTTTCCATTCATCTCACACAGCACCCATCGAAAAAAAAGGAACACAATACAATTCTAAAATACAATTCTTTATCAGCACAAAGCTTTATCTAATCGTTCTGCCATTTTCAGGTTGGATGTGTTCAGCCGACAGTTGTCGAACCGCCAGAAACACATAAAGAAGTACAACGTGGACGGACTTTCGAGCTGAAATGCAAGGTAAACTGAGTACTTTGAGCTCTCAAATCTTGTAAACACCCCCTTTTGGCGCAGTGATTTCTTCCATTTCTCCACCAAATCGTTGCTAAAAGGGGAAAATGGAATTGAGTGCACCAGAAAGAGTTTGTTTGCAAGATTTGAAAGTACAAAGTACAAGTTGAAGAACAGGCGAGGTTCTAGGAGAAGTTCTGTTTTATCTATTTGATAAATTCTATCTTATTATCCATTTTCCTAGGCTGTCGCCGTTCCCGAGCCTTACATCAACTGGCGTCTCAACTGGGGTCCTGTCTGCGAGCCACCGCGTTGTCTCCAAACCTCGGAAGGTGGCGTCGGAGTGTTAACTGTTCAGGATGCTCAGTGAGTGTTGTACAAGAGTAATCTTTCAGCAAACTAGCAACTTAGCATATCTACACAGTGATTAAACCCAATTTCAGACCACTCGATCAAGGAGCCTACACCTGTGAGGCGATCAACGTGAAAGGCCGCGTGTTGGCCACTCCGGATTGCATCGTGCGCGTCGTCGACTACCCGTCACCGAATCCACCACCGCCGCAACCCCCAGCTAGGTAATAAAACTAGTAATCATCAGCTACATCATCTTCGTCACTTATTTTTTTTGATTCATTTCAGTACCAGACCAACCACTTTACCCACGACTCTCGAGGAGAGGTAGAGATCAAAAATCCCCGAGATTTCCTCACTAAAATAACTCCTAAAACATCAAAAAGCTCATATTTTTTTAAAAATACACTAAAATCTTATAATTAACGAATATTAATATAGATTATATTAAAATTTACAAACCAATTACTTTTTTTAAGAAATTGACTGGAAAAGCTTTACTGGATACTTTTGAATGTAATCTAAAACTTGAAAAAAAACACTTTAGAACTAAATGCTTTAGAACTAAACTAAATGAACTAAAGCAATTGAAATTTTTAATCTAACTTTATCTTGATTGAAACAAACAAACATGTGACTTAAACTTCTTAGGCACAATTTCTAGACAATAAAATTGCATCAAAAGCATCAAAATCTAACAATTAACATTTCTCGTCGATTTTTCATCGATCTCATCGATGACCGAGTCATTTTTGACTTTTTAATCATTCAATCATTTTGAAACTTTAACTTTTAACGTACTAAGCACCCTCTTTCAAATGTTTAACGTTTTTAAAAGTTTTAAAAGTTTTAAAAACTAATCTAGTTAAATCGTTAACAGTTTCAAACATAAACTTTTGAAGAAATTTTGTATTTTAGACCACCAGTCACCACAACGCCTAGACCCAGGCCGTAAGTGCAAAAATGAGTGCTGAAAATCCCCCAAATAATCGCTAATCGATCAATCTCTAAAATTCATCATTGAAAAACTATCGAACTATCGATCTATCGAACTATCGATCTATCGAACTATCGAACTATCGAACTATCGAACTATCGAACTATCGAACTATCGATCTATCGATCTATCGAACTATCGATCTATCGAACTATCAAACTACTCAATCTTTCCTGTAAATTTAATATCTCTTCGTTAACTGAGGGCGGGGAAACGAAATTTATTTTAACCAATTTGAAACATGTTTTTTTCCCCTTAACTATTTTCCCAAAAATTTTAGTCTCCCAACGCAAAGAACCTACCCGCCAGTGTAAGTTTAAAAGAAAATGCATGCAATAATTTTCAATTTTTAATTCACTTCAACTAGTTTTACGTATTTTGAGTTTATTTTACTTCTTCGAACTTTTCTAAGCATTTTTTTTCGTTTCCTAAACCGTAAACCGTGTTCAATTCTCCCTTTCTACCGTAATCTTGTCTCTATTTTTTCAATTTATCCACTTTTTCTCTGATTCTGTACAAGAAAAAGGATATCGAAAGATATAAAAAGTGAATAGATTGAAAAAATAGAGAAAAGATTACGGTAGAAAGGGAAAAGTGAGCCAAGGCTTAGGATAATCGATTGACTGCTACAATCAGCTTAGGAAATCGATTGACTGCTGAGAACTCGATTCAAGCACTTTCTTTTAGAGTTTTTTAGAGAAAAATAGAGACAAGTTTACGGTAGAAAGAGGAAAGGGACACGTTTTAGGAAACATCGAATTCTTAGGAATACGGTAGACCAAAGCAAGAACAGCAAGCCCAAAAAGCGGTTTACAAGAAAAAGGCTCATTCTAAAGCTCTAACTGAAGCACTGAATAGTTGTACTGAATATTTCTTAAAATCAATTAAACTTTATTGAAATCAAATCACTTCGAGATGCGATTAACCGAAAAAAACAAAAGCCTCTCATTTTGAAAATCACAAATTTTTGACTGAAATCGTTGACTCTCGTTTGAGTATCAAAGTTTTTTTGCCGAAGAATTCTTCTCATTTCCCTTTTTCATTTTTTTTTTGCATTTATCTTTTTATCTTTTTAAATATCTTCTTATTTCATTTGAAATTCCAAAACTCTTCCATTTCAGTCTCAAAAAGAGACACCGAAAACGGCAAATCCACCATTCGCAACAGCAAACCCATCCGTAAGAAATCAAAATTTTCGTTTTTTTTTTTATTTTTCCTTTTTTATATCTAAGAACTTCTAAAAATTGAGATTTTCTTTAATTTGCTTCAATTTTTTTTCATTTTTTTTAGCAAAAACAATGTTTTAAGTTTTTCCTTTAGTGAATCCTATCCCGGGCTGCGCTGGAACCCGAGAATCCGGTTGGTTTTAAGGAAAATCTTTTGAAAATCTGAAATCGAGCTTGAAAAAAATCCATTTTTCTACGGAAAAACGCAAATTAAAATCTAATAGCTGCAAAATAGAGATCTATTTGAAAAGTTGGCTTTTAAAGTTTTTCGAGACGACTCTTGAGACGTTTTTCGAGACGACGACTTGAGCTGTTTGTATTAGAAAGTTGATTTCAATCCACAAGTTCCTATAACTTGAAACTAGCTTTTTTTTCTAGGGCCAAAAGTTTCTTTTTGTGTAATTTTGAGTTTCTAGTAGCTAAAGATACAAGTTTCTACCTAAAAGCTTACGAAAACTTTCAATTTTATCAAATAACTCTTTTCTTAAATGCCCTTGTCTACTTTAGCTGCTACGAGCCGGATCCGCGAATATGGAGGTTTTGCCCGAAATTTTTACCATTTTTTTCCATTTTTCCATTTTTCCATTTTTCCATTTTCCTTCATTTTCCTTTTATCCTTTTCATTTCTTTTTTGAATTTAAATTACCCTAAAGCCAAACTAGGATTCGAGAAATCGAATTTAATAACGATTCAAAAACTTTGAAACTTAAAGTTTTTTTTGATTATTTTAAGCCCTGAAACAACGCGCTATTTGCCACCGTTGCCGCGGCTGTGAGTTGAAAATTGAAAACAAATTATAATGCACAAAGTTTGCATGAAAATTTTTAACTCTTAATCTTTTTTTGATTAGTCAAACACTTAATTCTGCACAAAAAACCGCTTAAGCCAATTTTCGTGTGTTTCAAGATTGAACAGATCGAAGCACTGGAAGAGAAATTAGTTCACCATACCTTCCTAGGCTAAATCTTGATTTGCTGATTGATAAAAACTAATGTTAAACTGATAAAGTTTCAATTTAAATGCTAAGTTTCAACTTGAGCGCCTCCTGGCTTGGAATGGAGTTTTAATCTAGCGCAAAATAAACCCAAAATTGCAATTTTCTGCTTCAAAAGCAAATTGAAAGTTTTGGCGTACTTTGTACCTTCAAATCTCGTAAGCCTCGCCCTTCTGGCGTACTCACCTCTGCCATTTTCTTCTCAAAGCAACGATTTGGTGCCAAAGGGTGGAAATGAAAGAATTGAGTGCGCCAGAAAAGGGATGTTTATGGGAGTTGAGAGGGCCCAAAGGACAAGAGCAATTTCATCAAATTGCATGTTTCAAAAAGAGTGCCGAACACAGTCCAATAACAATTTTGAATTAAACATTAACTCCTAAATCCCATAAAATTTGAATCTTCAGCCCGCCAGCCACCCAACCACCCTACGTGCCACCGTAAGCGCAATAATGCAAATTTCTTTACCGAATCTCAATTTTCAGTTCCACCCGCAGACCCGAGCCACCAAGGCGACTGTAAGAAAGAGTTCTTTCTAACAAAAACCTATTCAGTTAACAAACTTTCGATTACAGTACCCCAAAGCGTCTTTTAAAATGCAAATTTCAAACAAAACTGACCCTCTATCTTGACATAATAACTTCTGAACTTCTGAAATGTCTAAGATTTCCAAAAATTTCAAAAACAATCATCCCCTTATTGCTAAAATCAAAAAAAATTTCAGGCCTCAAATTCAATGCGATGTCCGCGGCTCTGTCACCACGTATCCACAAGCCGAGCGGTGTGAGTGCAAGGTAACTTAGCTAGCAATTAGCTTCAAAAATTATCCAAAAATTTATAGAATTACATTTTAAGCATCTAGTTACCGTTTTAAAACTTGATACTTGGCAAAAAAGCGGAAATTTGTATTCCAAAAAAGAGTTGAAAGATCGTGTTTCAAGTTTGGCAAATACAAAGTTTGGTTTCTTTTTGTAATGGTTGTTAACTGCCGAATTGAAAGCGAAAGCGAAACTCATGAGCCTAAAAAAGAAGAGCTTTCGATTGCATCTGGAACTCTCGTTTTCTATCATTTTTCTTGGATTTAGTAGGCTATTACCTAGCTGAATATCTCTTTAGAATTAAAATAAAAATGCTATAATATAGCTGATTAGTTGAGTGTCTGAATATTCGAATGCATTCAATCATCATCATGTTGAAAATCATCATGTTTCAAGCTTCGCAAAGTTGGGTTCCCTTTCTTAGTGTTTATTTAGACCCTGGATCTAAAGCCAAATCAAAATCCATGAATTCTATGCGTTCCAAAACCTTGCTTCACTAACAGTCTGAATAAGTTGGGTAATTAAGCCGAAAACATGACTGTTAAATGGTGATCTGACCACCAAATCAGTGACCAAATCAGGCTACGAGTACGGTATCTCAAGTGCACAAAAGAGTAGTTGAAACTGTATTCACTGTGATTATTCTATCAGAATTGCGACCTCTTCCCTTTCAGCCACTCGTCCAAGGTCCCTCGTGTGACCAATGCCAGCCTGGATCATTCCATTTGACCGAAAAAGCCCCACAAGGATGCATCAAGTGCTTCTGCTTTGGAGTCACCAATCAATGTCAGAGCTCGTCACTCTATCGCACAAAGGCAAGTGCAATGTTGAGAGGCAAATTTCTATATACGCCCTTTTCATTATCATTCAGTCTTTTATAGCTTAAACTCAAGATACTCAGCTTACGATTAGTTTATTGAGATCAGAGTGTCAGCCTCTTACTCGTTCCTTAAAACATTTCCCTTTCCCTTTTCTACCGTGATCTTGTTTCCATTTTTATTTAATCTATCCACTTTTTTCTGACTTTCTGAGGGTTTACAAAGAATATCGAAGGAAAACAAAAAGTGGATAGACAAAAAGAGAATAGACATAGACAGAGTGGATAGACAGAAAAATAGAGACAAGATTACGGTAGAAAGGGGGCACGTTTTAGCTGGATTAGTTGTAAACTAAATGGATTGGTTGTAAAGTACATTCTAGGCTAAGCTAAATAACCTATCATAGTTGGTTTGTTTGTTTTTAGCTGTGAAAAATGAGTTTTTAAAACTAAATTCATTTTTGTTCAGTCAGAAAAAGCATGTTTCAAAATTTTGTAATTAAATAGCCCACAAGAGTTGCTCAATGATGTAAAAGAAGTAAAATCTGGAAGTAAAATTGAAACGATTTAAACTTTCTGTGAAAAATTGAAACTAACAAAAAAATAAGCGAAATTACTAACAAATCTCTGTATATATGTCAAATTTGTTCGTTTTCTTTCATTTCTCTCTTTTCAGGAAGCCGAATGTGTAAGTGTGAAGTCAAAAACAAAAAAAACAGCCATGTCCTCGTCCGGTGTCCGGTTGAAAAACTCAAGAATAACAAAATTCTTGAGAATTTTTCAATTCTCAAGAAATTCCCAAAGCATGACTCACCCAAAAATCAAAAAAATCAACTCTTCAAGCTAATCTTTGTCAAAAATCGTTTTTCAAATACTAAGAATTGAAAAATTGGCTTTATTGGCAGGGATTTTGAAATGTTAGTTTCAAATTCAAATAGTTTTCGGGGCTTTAGTTAGTGAATTTACAAAAATTTCTCTCCTTTTTCCATTTTCCAAACATTTCCATCATTTCTACTTGTAAACAGTTAATTTTAATCAATTAAATTAAACGTAGGTTGCATTTTTGGTAAAGGAAATGGGTGACACTGGTCACTGGTCACCACACTGGTCCTTATAGGTATTTTAGGTATCACACTGGTCCTTTACAGGTATTGTAGGTACCTACTGTAAGTCTAAACCTCAGCCAACCTTGAGGTTGATTAAGTAGACTTGCTTGCTTAGATTCAGTAGATTCAGTAGACTTCCTGTGTTCTAGTCTAAGGCTATTTATACGATGAAAACTTTCCACTATTCAGGGCGACAATTTCGAAATAATCTGTCTATTCTCCCATTTGAGAGCTCATTGATTCTCTTTTTTTTAAAAAGCACCCATTTTAAATGAACTATCGTAATCGTAACTAATCGATCCTCTAATTTTCATTCGATCAGCTTATTGGGGGAAAAGTTTTTGTTTTCAAAGTTCTTTGAAAGATTCGGATTGAAAGGTAAATAAAAATGAATAAAATAAAAATTTAAAGGTGAGAAAAACGAAATTGAAACGATTTTAGATCATCTAAGGGTTTAAATGATTAGGAAAAGACATTTTCAAACTCTATACGACCTCAAAAGTTTAAAGTTTCTCAACTAGTATCGTGATTTTCTCTTTCAATTTCTCAGTAGATTTTTGAAAGTATTCAGTGAAGATTTTAGGCTTAAATCTTTTGATTATTGTATGTAAAGGCTCAAAAAGCTTTTCCTTTTCTGAAAAGTCACCTAATTTCAGTGAAAACTCCCGTAATCTGGCGGCGATTTTTCATTTGATCAGCTCAATTTTCGTCGAATTTGATCGCAATCACAATGCTCAGTCAATGATAAAAATTAAGCTGATCGAATGAAAATTAGATGATCGATTAGTTACGATTACGATAGTTCATTTAAAATGGGTGCTTTTTAAAAAAACGAGAATCAATGAGCTCTAAAATGGGAAAATAGACAGATTATTTTGAAATTGTCGCCCTGAATACTGGAAAGTTTCATCGTAATGCCTTGACCCTGGCCGCCACAAGCCACTACACCCAGGTTGGCTGGGTCGCCACTACCGTAAGGACCAGTGTGTACCTAAAATACCTATAGGCCAGTGTGGGACGTGCCGTCACCCATTTCCTTTACCAAAAATGCAACCTACGTTTAATTTAATTGATTAAAATTAACTGTTTACAAGTAGAAGTGATGGAAATGTTTGGAAAATGGAAAAAGGAGAGAAATTTTGAAGAGTTATCAAACTAAAGCCCCGAAAACTATTTGGAACGCGAAAATTTGAAACTAACATTTCAAAATCCCTGCCAAAAAGCCAATTTTTCAATAAAATGTAGAAATTTTTTGTATTTTTGTAAAATTGCATGTCCCCTGCTTGCTGAAAAACCCTGGACATTTAGAAACGATTTTTATATTTCATAAATTTCAAGTTTAGGAAGAACTCCTGTTCGCTGGAGACGCTGAAGGAGTGACCCTGTCGGATATCGAGGAAAGAACGATCGACTACAATCCGAAATTCGAGTTCACGTGAGTCATTTGGCGATAAATTTGAACCTGATTTTAAGAATTAAAATTTTATGTAATTATGGTATTAGGCAAATGCTTGGAATACGAAACTTTTGTGTTCATTGAAAAATCGATGTTTCAAAGTTCCATGGCTTAAGCTCAAACTTTGAGAATTAATATAAATGAAATAAGGTTTTCCCTTTGAAAAAGTCATGTTTCTAAGTTGCGGCAATTATTTAATTAAACGATAATTTAGCTTCGAATTTTCTGAACTTTGATAAAAACTACTTTATCAATAAGAATTAGTTGATTGATTGGCTAAGCTGTTTGATTGTTTTTTTGAGATTAAGATTGAGAAAGCTTAAGAAATTGATTGAGGTTAAGTTTCTTTTTTTCTTAATGCAAGTTAAGTTTAAGATTAAGTTTGAAACTTAAGTGCAAGTTTCAAAGTTGGCTGAGTGCTTTTGGAAGCGCATATCTTCATAAACTCTGCCTTTACTTTTAAAATTGAAAGTCTAAGGTCAAAATTGAGAGTATGACGATACCGCAACGACATTTGCGCACAATAGGCCCTTCCCACAAACTTCAAGCGCTAAAAAGTTCCACCACATGGCCTACATTGCTTCGATTGAGCCCAAATTTTTACACCATGTTGCGCTCGCCTATGCCCATTTATTGTAAAATTTCAACTTGATAGCTTCACTACAAAAAAAAAATTGGAAGCCATTATTGCTTTGTGCGACGTCTTTTTTGCGTCTTTTGCGCACAAAAAAATCAAGTCACTTCAAAATTTTTTGTAGTGAAGCTATCAAGTTGAAATTTTTACAATAAATGGGCATAGGCGAGCGCAACATGGTGTAAAAATTTGGGCCCAATCGAAGCAATGTAGGCCATGTGGTGGAACTTTTGAGCGCTTGAATTTGTGGACGGGGCCTGTTGTGCGTAAAAGGCGTTTTTCGTAAATAAGTTGCGTTCGTTTTTCATATAATAGTGAAGCAAAATCTAAGGGATTTTAAGGAGTAAAATAAGTACCGTAGCTTTAAATCCAGATGTACTTTCGTAGGAAAAGTGCAAGTTTAAGTCTATGTTTCAAAATTAAGTTAATCATTTTGGTATTTTGAAGGGTAATGGCCTGTGGCAATGTAACAAAGAAAATGACTTAAATATTAAAAATTCTTGAAAGAATTGACTGAAATTAGTTGATTCAATAAAAATTTCATGCTTTTAGTCTGCTAAATTTTCCTTTACTTTTCCAGGAAACCCGGCTTCCTCACTTACAACGAGGAGTGCCCCGAACAGTTCTGGCGACTCCCCAAGAGGTTCCTCGGCAACAAGGTTATTTTCTAAATAATTTCTAAAAATTCCGCTAATCTTTATCTGTCATTCAATATCTTCAAATAGTCTTTTTCAAAATACTAAACAATTTTCAGGTGACCGCTTATGGAGGAAAGATGGAGTTCGAGATCGAGTACCAGGGCAGCGGTGGGTTCCACTCGGAGCCATTGGTCGTCTTGAAGGGAAATCAAATCATTCTCGTGCATCGGCTGAAAGATCAAGAACGAGTGCTGAGACCCGGACAGACTGCCAAGATCACCATCGAGACCTGGGAGGTAAGTGGGAAGGTTTTTGGCAGCTCTGACAGATTTACGTTCAAAAACAGTGTATAGTGGATAGGGCCAATCGATTCACCGACCCCGAAAACCCCTTGGTAGAAATTTACAGCTGAATAGCTTCTTTTTGGGCCATCAACAAAGAAAAAGAAAAATCCTTAAATGACTGGCGAGGTGTTCTTTGTACGGCCGGGTAATCGCTCTCCATCTGGCGCATCCTTCCGATAGATAGGGTTCTAAGCGACTGATTTTTTCCGGCTTTATCGTCGTCACTATGCCCAAATTTTTGGGATCCATTTTTGCTGTAAATTTGTCTGTAATTTCCCTAAATTCCGCGTCATTTACATCCAAATTAAATCCTGATTTGAGAAATTTGAGGTTTCAAAGTAAATGGAGTCAAATTCATGTTAGCTACTGTAATTAATGGTGCGCTAATCTGGGACACGACGAAATAATGAATATAACAAAGTTTTGGCTATAAGAAAGCTTATTAAAGGTACTAATTCTCTTTATTTCTACAGTAACTCAACAATTATTGACTAGCTGGTGCTTTAAGGATCAAAGGTTTCATTTCAAGTGGAAAAAGCTTAACTTTATCAGAAATTCTAAGGTTTAACAGCTAAAACAAGACTAAATGAATATAGCAAAGTTTTGGGTATTTTAAAACTTTTTAAATTTCATTTTAACATTCCAGAGCAACTGGGAACAACTAAACGGAGCACCAGCCACTCGCGAAGATCTGATGATGGTGTTGGCCGATTTGGACGCACTTCTGATCCGTGCCCAACACGTCGAAAGCCAATACTCGACCAGGTTCGTGAAAGCTGGTCTTTAGATGTACTTTGAGCTCAAGTTTTGCAAAAATCCCCTTCCTGGTGCATTCAATTCTTCCAATTTCCCCTCACAGCAACGATTTAGTGTCAAATGGAGAAATAGAAGAGTTGAGTGTGCCAGAAATCGGGTTGTTTACAAAATTTGAGCTCAAAGTACACCGCAAATAGCTTTAGAATGTATTTTCTGGTTTATTAGAACATTTTTGCAACTTATTTACATTTTCAAGTCATTGAAAAAGTGGTGTTTCAAAGGGAATGGTTTTCAAGAAAGTTTTATGCTTTAATTTCTTTGAAAATAAGTGTTTCGGCTTTAGTTATCAAAGCAGAATACCTAATATTTTAATTAAATATTAATATTAAAAGATTTCCAGCAGTATTCTTTTTATAGAAAAACTCGGTGTTTCAAACTTTTCAGCTCTTCGGGAGGAATTTTTGAGTTAATCGATCCTGTACTTTTTAGCCAAATTAAAATATTGGGTTGGGGACTATGACTCTGCGCCGAAAATCAAAAAAATGTCTAAAACTTCTATTCGACTTCGTCAAATAATATGCGTTTGATATGAGTAGAATAGTTAACTAATTCTCTACAAAATGACATTTAAAAGAAAATTCAAACAGCGCCTTCGCTCAAGAAAAAGCCATTTTTTCACAAAAACTACAAACTGTGATCTAGAAAAAACCATTGGTGGGATCTTCCTGCAAATTTGGCAACTTAAGTAATTGAATGTGCTCTATCTTTTTTATATAAACACCAAAGAAGGTTTATGTGAAAGAAACTGTTCAAATGATGAGTCGGGCTCTTTGCCATTTTGACTAGCTGTGTCTGGGAGTCCATAAACTCCACGAAAGAAAAGCTTTGTGGAATCTCTCAAAAGTCATTTTGTAGAGAAATAGTGGATCCTTTTGATGAAACCAAAGGTATATTTAAAGAAGGCTTTATGTGTGCAAAAAGTCCCTTTAAAGTTTGGCGCCGAGTCATAGTCCCCAACCCAATACATCTGAATGCACAAAATTTCGACAAAATTTATCTCTTTTGATATAAATTTCTTTGATTAAAATGGTAGCAAATAGATTTCTTTGCAAAAAAAAAAAGCTCTTCGATCACTTTTCAAGAAAATAAGACCCGTTTTAAGAGAGAAATATAGGATTTAAAAGTCGAAAAATGCGAAAATCCTAGCGAACAACATAGAGAAAACGAGAAAGCACACAAAAATGTTCATAGAGAAATCAAAAAATTTTGGTTTTAATGTAAACAAGGCGAGAGAAAGAGAGAGAATGGAAAGTTTCTGTAGATTTCTGTAGATTACGGTAGTTGTCGGTTTGTCTAAAATATCGTGTTTTTTTAGAAAACAGCTTTGAATAAGAGGAAATGAGATTACTATTTAAAAGCTCTTTTTCAAGCTAAACGTATCACTCCAATTTAATTTTGATATTTCATCCTATTCAAGGAGTGTTTTCATCCTAAGCCTAAGCCCGTCCATCCTATTCATCTCGGAAAGTCCAATGTCTGATATAGAGTGTGTTCCTTGCAGACAACGCGTTTTCTAAAAAGCGCGCGCCAAGGATAAGCTACCGTAACCCTATGCTTGTCAGCAAATTTTCAAAATGCATTAAAATCTTGCGCTCTTTTTTCTATTACTCTTTCCTTAACTCTATTACTCTTTCAGTAAAACTTAAAAATTTTTAAATGCTATGTAAAATTAAAGAAAACATTTAAAACGGGAAAAGTTAAGAAACACTATTAAAAAATTATATTATTTACGAATTTACCAGGCCTATTGTCTACATTTGCACTAGAACCATTCCAAAAAAAAATTGCACGCCCTAAAAAACCTAAATCCTTAAATAATACTATCCAATACTATATTTTAAGAAAAGTTTGCAAATTTTTTTCGCGCGACCTTTATAGCTTTGCTTAACAAGCGCACCTTTTAGAAAACGCGTTGTCGGAAGTTTGTCGGATCAATTGTCTCACAAAAAAGTTGTCAATGAAAATTTGTCTGACAAATTGTCTGTCAACAAGGAGCACACTCTAGTCGGATATCAGACTGATATGTCTTCAAGCTGAAGCTAAAGTCTTGTCGATTCAATTTTTGTACATACTGTAGTGAGACAAGTGACTAACTTACGGTATTATTTATGCGGCATTCAATAAACACTGCACTAGCGCCAGTATGAAGTGCTTCCAAACAATGACGCGCATCTCTCGCTCGTGCACATCCTCCATCTCCAAATGAGCGCTGCAATTTTTCCTTCAAACTACTTTTTGCTCATTTCATTGAAATTCTTTCAATTTCTCTACTTCTAAATTGTTCATTCATTAAAATTTCATTCTCATCTAAATCTTGAACAAATTTGAAACCTGTACTGTTCAATGAGCGACTCAGCCAACCCAAACCATGTGCCAACGATTTTTCGTTGACCAGATGGCTTCCAAGTTACCTAAAATCTTTGAGTAATTAAGTTAGAGACAAAAATTTTCTATTTACATAATCTGATTGATATTTATTCGACTTATAAGCTGCATAAACCTTTTTCAAGTCGAATTTGAGAAGATTTACTTTACTTTGGTTAAATGATTGAAATTTATGAGTTTCATCTTTGAACCATTTCTTTGAAAGACGAAATTTAACCTTTTTGCTATTAACTACCTTACTTTGTGCTTTTATACTGCCAAATATTCTTTTGACTTTCAAAAACGGGATTAAACTATCGTTTCAATTTAAACGGACGAATTTTATGGCTCTAAAGGTTAATAAAACTATCATTTCAAGTGAAGCACTCTTTTGAATGCCTCTCTTCCCCCATGCACAAACCCTTTTCTTTTTCCCGTAGCTCTTCGTCGTGTAAATGTCGATGTAGGTTGAGCTTTCCATAATTTGAGCGTTGTTTCGAATTCCTTCTAGAAAGTTTTTGCAAAATCATTCAAAACACAGAAAGTTCCCTTCAAATATCGATGTTTCAATTTAATTCATGATAAACTAAACTAGGCCAGCTTAGTGCCTCCCCTTTGCTCAAGCGAATTAAGACCGATTTTGATTAAGATTAGTCGATTAGGGTTGAAATATTTTCTCTAACCGATTAAGCTTTCAGTCATAAATCGCTTTCATTGGAAAATATAAGGAAAAGTCATTGCCGATTAATTTTAGTGAATTTGGTTTGACTGTTTGACTCTGATTAGTCATTAAGCAGAGATTTAATCTTTTTTTCGGCTAACGATCATTGATAATTAATATTTTTTTGCAAAAATGAGCGCAATTGAAAGAAACAGCACAACAAAAAAGCAAAATTAAAATCTTAATCGACTAATAAATCGTTAAACTCGATTTTTGTTTAATCCGAAAAGAAGGACTCTTTAAAAAGCGCATTCTAGAAAAACTAGTTTCAAACAAATAAGGGTCAAACCAAATTCACCGAAATCAATCTCAATTTGATTTCGACTTTTCCTCATATTTTCCACATTTTCGTCTCTCCCACTCACCAATAATTCCCTCTAAAAGCTCTTCGAGTCGCATTGATTCGCGACGAATCAAATTGTAGTCAGGTGGCTCTGAAAATAGAGAATGAGACAAGAATAGACAAAATAAAAGAGTAATGAGTCATAAATTCTTGAATTTACAATAAAACTGAAACTTTTAAAGAACCACGATCAATATTGAAGTTTCAACCTTAACTAGATTAAGTCGTGATTTCAGAAATTGGTCGTCTAATGCTTAAAACATGAAAGATATCAAATTATGATGGAAAATTTAAGCGCATTGGCTTTTCAAGCATTGCAAACAGTTAGGCATAAAGAAATTTTTGAAAAAGGTTTCAAATTTAAGCATATGAAAGCACGATTTCAAAATTTAATCATCGTCGAATCGTTGATTTTTCATTTTCAAAAATTTGTAGAATTCTAAAGCCATAAACTTTTAAAATTGATTATCAATAGGTAAATCTAACTTTTAAAGCTAGATTTACCTTTTGATTAGTAGCTTTTGTTCTAAAACTTAGGAAGATTTTTGAAAAGAGATTTCCAGTTTAATGGAGTTTAAAGTTTAAAGGGTTAAGTTTAAAGTTTAAAGGGCTTTACTACCCTAGCTAAACAGCTAGGGTAGTAAAGCTTTTACATAACCATTAATTGTTGTGTTTCTATACAAATCTAATAAAGAATCACGAAAACTTTTGAAAGTATCAACTTTTAAAAGTTTCTGCTACAAATTCGAAAAGATCAAGTGATTTTTTTCGAGCTTAGTCACATCACAATCCAAAATTGCTTTGTGGTAGCTAAAAAAAGCTTTTTTCAATGTTTCAAATGAAACAGGATCAATTGAAATCGCCGGAATTGAGTCTCAAATCGATCGCAAAAATTTGATCTTGAAAAAATCTATTTTATAATGAAAAAAACTTTTCAAAGATTGTTTTTTTTATAAATACCTCTCGATTGAGGGATCCCATTTTGCAATTCCATCATTTTTAGTGACCGTGACAACCAAGAGTGGCACACGTGCTCACAGAAATTCGGATTCTAAAAAACAGTTAATTTACATGAAAAACTTCACAACTAAATTGATAAATTAAAAGAAGAAAATGAAGAGAGAAATGTCAAATAGCTACATCAAATAGCTACATCGCATTACAGCGTTTCATTATAATTAAAAGTTGAAACTGAATCTCCCGGTTGTACTTTGTGCTCCCAAATCTCGTAAAAGTCCCCTTTCTGGAGCACTACGCCTTCACAAAGCAAAACAGTAACAAAACCCACTTTGAACAAAATGTTTCGCCACAAGATCGGCAACAAATCCATCTCGAACGGCGTCATGAAGACGATTTTTTCGCTGAAAACTTTCCAGTTTCAACTCTGAAGTTTTTAGATATGATTATTATTTTTTAAACCCTAAACTAAACACTAAAAGAGTTAGCTCAGTGAAAAAAGTTTGGTTAGTTAGTTGTAAAAGTTTCGAATTTCATTTTTGACAAAGGGAAGCAGCAACTTTG